TCTGTGGGTTTCACTTTGTTTTTGAATGCGATAGATGCCAGTCTAGTACGGACACTGGTGATGAAACGCCTGAGCTTCCCGGCTTTAGGGAGCAGGGTCGGGGGCACAAGTTCTCCCTGGACGAAGATGGGTGGCGGGAGAAGTCGCGAAAGCCTGTAGTGAGCGGCGGCCGATGTGACGGCGTTGTGGATTTCGATGAGTGAGTTGCGCACGCTTGGGTGGCGATCATTGCTGAGGAAAAGTTTGGACATCTGTGTCCAGCCACAGTCAACCTCTCTCTGTAACATCCACAGATGTCGCTTGCCTCTCTTGTTCTCAGTCACCTGTTAAAAAGAAATATACACACACATTGCACAGATCCATACAGTAAACCGTGTTCGATGACAAGAATTAACTTTAACTAATATGAGGACGAATGACGTTCTGAAAACATATTTGGTAAATAAAGTTTACTCCCCAGGTCCGTTTAGGGGCAAAGGAAATATCGGAATATGATGCTACACCATGCTAATCATGCAGGCCGTAGTGCTTACCTCATTTTCGTGGAGAATGGCAGTCCGGATCAGATGGAGCCAAAGGCGGATGGCGTCAAACTCATCCAGAAGTTCACTGGTGAACAGATGCTGCAGGTCTGTAAGATGAAATAAGTCTACAGTCTTAAATTACATCTCTTCACATTCAAACCCGCTGTTATACAGTCATACAGGAAGTTAACACAAATCACAATAAAATTCAAATGCATTACATTAATTTGGAGTAAGTTTGAAAATAAGATGCTCGTTATATTTGAGTTTGCCATCAAGCTTGTCACATTCCTTTTTAACCTGTTCATTATGGAATCTGTTTCGGCAGATAATCCAGACTGATTATTCTTTGGGGTGGACGTTTTATACTTGTCAAAATTGTATCCACTGAGACAAACTTCAAGCTAAACTCTTCTCCATGAGACATCAATTATATATCTTCATGAGAGCTCACATGACTTATCTGATTAATTATTGCCAGCGAAACGTTTGGAGAAGGGAGACGTTAAATAACATTCCTTTTTCAAACATGAAATCATTTTCTTGTTTTTAAAAATCACATTAACTGTAAAATGAAACTAACCTGGAGCTGTTCGTGCTCCTCGGAGCCAGTCGCGGCCACAAAACGTCATTTTCAACACTTGTTTCAAGGAAAGATTCGCAAATATTCACTGAGCAAAACTGGAGCGTGTTGACATTACCGAATCAATGTCGGAGTGATTTCGATGACGTCATGTCATCGTGACGTCACGTTATTGTGACGTCATAGTACCACGGGAGGTAATTGGATTCATTAAAGACACCCGCACCGCTTAATCAAACCATGTAAAAGGTCAAACCCTAGCAGTTCCTTCATACTATGGGCAGTGTTTTTTAGGATTACTGAATACATGTTCCTGTGTTAAAGACATGGAAACTGTTTCACTTTAAATGAGAACAACTACATGACAGAACATGAGATATCGCCTGTATCTTGGACATAATGATGCAGGTGGCATTGTGGAGTTACTAGCGACCGCTGTTGTTCTCTTCTGTCTGGCACACCTACTTCTCATGCATGTTATATGGTCATTAAAATCTTCAGTGTCAGTGGGATATTGTGTATATGTCATAGTTTATTCAACACGACATGTCCAAATAGCGGGAGGATTTAATGACCGCAACGCCAGGTGTCATCGGTTTCAATTTACAATGATTGTCGAGTGACGCTTTTTTGTGAATTCATGCTTCCAATTTGATCGGAATAGGCCTTTATCCTGTGGTGGGTTGACAAGCATTGACAAGCATTGAGACGTCAAGTCAAAGTCTCCTCTTCGATATCCCACATGTGTACAATGTGTGGAACCCATTCTGGGTTTTCTCTGTCGTTATTTCAGTTGGAATATTGCCGAAAGCGGCGTAAAACCCTACTCATATACTGTTTCGTTCATGTGACATGGACGAAATGAACTGTTTACGTATAGTGTTCGTCTTCGTGTAGCAACTATCAAGTTTATGTTATTTGTCTTCTTCCGATTCCGCATCTTCTACAAAGACATTCAGGTACTTACTATATATGGCACCATCCCACCTACAGCATATCTTTCCTCTTTTAGAAGCAGCTATACGACCACACTAACAATCGTTTATGTAACACACATAGGTACAGAAATACTTTTTCTATTGCATGCAGATAAGACGCCAGTCTCTGAACAAGACACAGTTTAATAGTGGACGGAATCTCCACACACGGCTATCTGACTGTGTGTATGCCAAGGAAGACAGAAAACAAACCACTTCACGTTTCATTCATTCCATTTAATGTCTGCATATACCAAACTGGCAATATGAGACTTCGGTTATTAGAATGATGAAATAGTAATGCTTTAGAGGAATTTCAAATTACAAATAAAACAGGATTAACAGAAGTTGTATAATGTTTTCCATGTAATGAATTACAACATCATGATTTACAGAGATGTATAACGTCAGACAATATGTACAACTTCAAACAAATCAAATTAAATATACAGAAATTCCAATAGGTTTTACAATACATGTGTATGTTTCACACAGGGAGAACCTGGTTCTTGCTGCTGGCGATGTTCCTGATACACTGCACAACACGACCAAAGACAGAGTTGTGGCAAAGTGTGTCTTTGACATGTGATTTGGCAGCAGGAACGTCCGTGGGTTTCACTTTGTTTTTGAATGCGACAGATGCCAGTCTAGTACGGACAGTGGTGATGAAACGCTTGAGCTTCCCGGCTTTAGGGGGCAGGGTCGGGGGGACAAGTTCTCCCTGGACGAAGATGGGTGGCGGGAGAAGTCGCGAAAGCCTGTAGTGAGCGGCGGCCGATGTGACGGCGTTGTGGATTTTGATGAGTGAGTTGCGCACGCTTGGGTGGCGATCATTGCTGAGGAAAGGTTTGGACATCTGTGTCCAGCCACAGTCAACCTCTCTCTGTAACATCCACAGATGTCGCTTGCCTCTCTTGTTCTCAGTCACCTGTTAAAAAGAAATAAACACACACATTGCACAGATCCATACAGTAAACCGTGTTCGATGACAAGAATTAACTTAAACTAATATTAGGACGAATGACGTTCTGAAAACATATTTGCTAAATTAAGTTTACTCCCCAGGTCCGTTTAGGGGCAAAGGAACTACCGGAATATGATGCTAAACCATTCTAATCATGCAGGCCGTAGTGCTTACCTCATTTTCTTGGAGAATGGCAGTCCGGATCAGATGGAGCCAAAGGCGGATGGCGTCAAACTCATCCAGAAGTTCACTGGTGAACAGATGCTGCAGGTCTGGAAGATGAAATAAGTCTACAGTCTTAAATTACATCTCTTCACATTCAAACCCGCTGTTATACAGTCATACAGGAAGTTAACACAAATCACAATAAAATTCAAATGCATTACATTAATTTGGAGTAAGTTTGAAAATAAGATGCTCGTTATATTTGAGTTTGCCATCAAGCTTGTCACATTCCTTTTTAACCTGTTCATTATGGAATCCGTTTCGGCAGATAATCCAGACTGATTATTCTTTGGGGTGGACCTTTTTTTATACTTGTCAAAATTGTATCCACTGAGACAAACTTCAAGCTAAACTCCTCTCCATGAGACATCAATTAAATATCTTCATGAGAGCTCACATGACTAATCTGATTAATTATTGCCAGCGAAACGTTTGGAGAAGGGAGACGTTAAATAACATTCCTTTTTCAAACATGAAATCATTTTCTCGTTTTTAAAAATCACATTAACTGTAAAATGAAACTAACCTGGAGCTGTTCGTGCTCCTCGGAGCCAGTCGCGGCCACAAAACGTCATTTTCAACACTTGCTTCAAGGAAAGATTCGCAAATATTCACTGAGCAAAACTGGAGCGTGTTGACATTACCGAATCAATGTCGGAGTGATTGTCGATGACGTCATGTTATTGTGAAGTCACGTTATTGTGACGTCATAGTACCACGGGAGGTAATTGGATTCATTAAAGACACCCGTACCGCTTAATCAAACCATGTATAAGGTCAAACCCTAGCAGTTCCTTCATACTATGGGCAGTGTTTTTTAGGATTACTGAATACATGTTCCTGTGTTAAAGACATGGAAACTGTTTCACTTAAAATGAGAACAATTACATGGCAGAACATGAGATATCGCCTGTATCTTGGACATAATGATGCAGGTGGCATGGTGGAGTTATTAGCGACCGCTGTTGTTCTCTTCTGTCTGGCACACCTACTTCTCATGCATGTTATATGGTCATTAAAATCTTCAGTGTCAGTGGGATATTGTGTATATGCCATAGTTTATTCAACACGACATGTCCAAATAGCGGGAGGATTTTATGACCGCAACGACAGGTGTCATCGGTTTCAATTTACAATGAGTGTCGAGTGACGCTTTTTTGTGAATTCATGCTTCCAATTTGATCGGAATAGGCCTTTTTCCTGTGGTGGGTTGACAAGCATTGACAAGCATTGAGACGTCAAGTCAAAGTCTCCTCTTCGATATCCCACATGTGTACAATGTGTGGAACCCATTCTGGGTTTTCTCTGTGGTTAATTCAGTTGGAATATTGCCGAAAGCGGCGTAAAACCCTACTCATATACTGTTTCGTTCATGTGACATGGACGAAATGAACAGTTTACGTATAGTGTAGCAACTATCAAGTTTATGTTATTTGTCTTCTTCCGATTCCGCATCTTCTACAAAGACATTCAGGTACTTACTATATATGGCACCATCCCACCTACAGCATATCTTTCCTCTTTTTAGAAGCAGCTATACGACCACACTAACAATCGTTTATGTAACACACATAGGTACAGAAATACTTTTTCTATTGCATGCAGATAAGACGCCAGTCTCTGAACAAGACACAGTTTAATAGTGGACGGAATCTCCACACACGGCTATCTGACTGTGTATGCCAAGGAAGACAGAAAACAAACCACTTCACGTTTCATTCATTCCATTTAATGTCTGCATATACCAAACTGGCAATATGAGACTTCGGTTATTAGAATGATGAAATAGTAATGCTTTAGAGAAATTTCAAATCACAAATAAAACAGGATTTACAGAAGTTGTATAATGTTTTCCATGTAATGAATTACAACATCATGATTTACAGGGATGTATAACGTCAGACAATATGTACAATTTCAAACAAATCAAATTAAATATACAGAAATTCAAAAAGGTTTTACAATACATGTGTATGTTTTCACACTGCATATTTTCACACAGGGAGAACCTGGTTCTTGCTACTGGCGATGTTCCTGATACACTGCACAACACGACCAAAGACAGAGTTGTGGCCAGGTGTGTCTTTGACATGTGATTTGGCAGCAGAAACGTCTGTGGGTTTCACTTTGTTTTTGAATGCGATAGATGCCAGTCTAGTACGGACAGTGGTGATGAAACGCCTGAGCTTCCCGGCTTTAGGGGGCAGGGTCGGGGGGACAAGTTCTCCCTGGACGAAGATGGGTGGCGGGAGAAGTCGCGAAAGCCTGTAGTGAGCGGCGGCCGGTGTGACGGTGTTGTGGATTTCGATGAGTGAGTTGCGCACGCTTGGGTGGCGATCATTGCTGAGGAAAAGTTTGGACATCTGTGTCCAGCCACAATCAACCTCTCTCTGTAACATCCACATATGTCGCTTGCCTCTCTTGTTCTCAGTCACCTGTTAAAAAGAAATAAACACACAAATTGCACAGATCCATACAGTAAACCGTGTTCGATGACAAGAATTAACTTAAACTAAAATGAGGACGAATGACGTTCTAAAAACATATTTGGTAAATTAAGTTTACTCCCCAGGTCCGTTTAGGGGCAAAGGAAATATCGGAATATGATGCTAAACCATTCTAATCATGCAGGCCGTAGTGCTTACCTCATTTTCTTGGAGAATGGCAGTCCGGATCAGATGGAGCCAAAGGCGGATGGCGTCAAACTCATCCAGAAGTTCACTGGTGAACAGATGCTGCAGGTCTGGAAGATGAAGTAAGTCTACGGTCTTAAATTACATCTCTTCACATTCAAACCCGCTGTCATAAAGCCATACAGGAAGTTAACACAAAACACAATAAAATTCAAATGTATTACATTAATTTGGAGTCAGTTTGAAAAATAAGATGCTCGTTATATTGGAGTTTGCCTTCAAGCTTGTCACATTCCTTTTTAACCTGTTCATTATGGAATCTGTTTCGGCAGATCCAGACTGATTATTCTTTGGGGTGGACGTTTTATACTTGTACGTTAAATAGTATCCATTGAGACAAACTTTACGCTAAAATCTTCTCCACGAGGCATCAATTAAATATCTTCATGAGCGCTCACATGACTTTGGAGAAACGTTTGGAGAAGGGAGACGAAAAATAACATTCCTTTTTCAAACATGAAATCATTTTCTCCTTCTTAAAAATCACATTAACTTTAAATTAAATTTACCTGGAGCTGTACGTGCTCCTCGGAGCCAGTCGCGGCCACAATACGTCATTTTCAACACTTGCTTCAAGGTAAGATTCGCAAAGAATCATTGAGCAAAACTGGAGCGTGTTAACATTACCGAATCAATGTCGGAGTGATTGTCGATGACGTCATGTCATTGTGACGTCATAGTACCACGGGAGGTAATTGGATTCATTAAACACGCGCGTATAGCTTTGACTAATATAATGTCATAGAAATAAACCAGTTCCATCAAAATACAATCGCTCTTTTCCTTCCTTCTTTTAGCCGCCGTGATATTGCCGGAATATTGCTAAAAGCAGCGTAAAATCATACTCACACACTCTTTTTTTATGCTAAATATATTTTGAAGCAGATAAAGCGCACCGATTTAATGAGCTGAGTTGCAGAAGTGGATCCTATTGTTCTAACCATTAGATAAGATGTGTTGATTTTAGTAAAGTACAGATACAGAAGAAAATACTGATGGAATTCAACTCTTTAATAAAGAACCTTTACAATAGGGCTTTGGAGGTCTCTTGTTGGTTGTCAAACGTTTAATTATGCAGAATGTATGGCATTTTAAGCTTGATAATACAATGCATTTCGTACATTTATTACAAATATAGATAATAACCATATGGGTCAATGTCACACACGCAATACAAATATAACGTTTAGCGGTATCTTTCATATACGTTGAGTTGTGTCCCTTTGAACGTTTGCCGAGCAGCATGGAATCCAACGTAAGACAGAGAAAGTTCGACTCTCACACAGATAAAGCAAGAGAATCACCAGATGACGATGCGAAGCAAAATACAGTGGCGTCTCAAGGGTATTCTGATATTATTTTCCTCCAATCAGCCGGTAATGACAAAGCATGATAATACGAACAAATGTATAACAACCAACGGAATCTTTACGGGTGTTAAACCATTTTATGATTTGTCTGATCTGTTATTGTTATATACTATATTATAGTTATTAGGGCTGGAACGAGTCCAAATTTACTACCCGTGTACCCATCCCCCTATTACCCGACCCTACCTGGGTACCCACTGTAGGTCTCAGAGGTGTCTCAAAATGTCCGATTGGGAGCATTTTTAGCATAGCCCTGGCAAAACGTATTTAGATACATGTATTAAACAATCTGGTCATTCATACACTGAAGTTGAATTAAGTTATATCTTAAATCAACCATATGAACAATCAGAGCGAATTAATGGGTGCATATTCAGAAAGAAATGCGAACATTAGTGACTTGTAGTGTAATTATAGAGTTCTCGATAATTTGTTTCATTAAACAATATATCACGTGACTAACCACTGGTCCAGGTAGTCCTGTTGGTCCCCAGGTCCTACTCAGTACCCACCCGACCCGGGGACCCGAGTTACACGTCCCAGCCCTAATCGTTATGATCGTTTAGAATATAATACTGACTTTTATCAAGCTTGTCTACCCTTGTCATGGCAGATGTATTTGAGGGAAATAGCTTTTCCTGGATAAGTTGTGACTGTATGAAGCTCATGCTTTCATTGGTGGTTCGTGTAGTTGTACAGATTTTGTTCTTACATTGATGTAACCATTTTGTTCTGTATTGAATCTCATAGTTTCACTGTCAATGTTCTTTTTATGAATGTATTTTAATTGTTCTCTTTGCTCTGTTGCTAAGAAATTTGTCACATTATGTCAACAACATTACAGTTGAACTCATTGCTCACATTTGTGTCGCTATGGACCTAATGACTGAATTTTGGTTGGACAAATAATTTCAACAATTGTCTTTTGATAAGGTGCATGTCTTCCACCACAGGGCCATATTTAACTTATATATCAGACCCCATATGCCGATATATGGTCTATGCTTATATTCTATACCAACAAGTTTGTTAGTGTAGAATGTTTGTTCCATGTACCTAAATTCAGACACAACTACCATTTTTATGTACACACTTGTTTCATGTAATTACTCATTCATATTTTTCTGAGTGTAATTGAACTTATTGTCAACAATAATAATACCCCAGACCACTACTGATGAGTAAGTTGGATGCATGACTCCAACAACAGAGCCATATTTTCTTTCACTTTAAGTTAAGAAAGATTGTTAGAAAATATCCCCAGGTCTCACCCTTAAGACGTCGTACAATAAACTCAAACTTAGAGTTGATATAATGATCATAAGCATGTTTTCTGGAAGATGTGTGATGTCGGTGTTTGTATCTCACAAAGATGGGGGGCTTTTGGTGCTGCATTCATCCTGGCAAGTGTTACATGTGCCGTGCTCATCCTGGTGATCCTGCCATCACCGATACAACCGCTGTCATACAGGTAAACAGTTCATATCTACTGCAAGATGTAGAAGATAGCTGGTGTCACATGATACATACTATGTACCAGAATAGGAATAGATTCCTTGGGTCAGAATAGGTCCCCGCTACCTCATGCTTGTCATAAAAAAATGGGGATCGGTGGTCAGGTTCTGTGCCTCTGTTGAATGTGTGCTTGTTGGGTTTTTTTTGTTTAACGTCGCACTCAGCAATATTCCAGCTATATGACGTCAGTCTGTAAACAATCGAATCTGGATCAGACAATCCAGCGATTGACACCATGAGTATCGATCTACGCATACGGATACAATGACATGCATCAACCAAGTCAGCAAGCTTGACCAATCGATCCCGTTAATCACTTCTGAAGACAAGCATAGTCACCTTTTACGGCAAACATGGGTTGTTGAAGACCTATTCTACCCCGAATCTTCTCGGGTCGGTACCCGTTTGATGTTTGATGATGAAAATGCTATCAACCTATGGTGTGACTGGCCCAGATTCAACTGCATACAATAGACCCATGAAGATCCGGGGTAGGATAGGTCTTCAGCAACCCATGCTTGCCGTAAAAGGCGACTATGCTTGTCGTAAAAGGCGACTAACGGGTTTGGGTGGTCAGGCTCGCTGACTCTGTTGATGCATGTCATCGATGTTCATGATGTAAATCACTGGATTGTCTGGTCCAGGCTCGATTATTTACAGACCGCCGTCATATAGCTGGAATATTACTGAGTGCGGCGTAAAAAAACAAACCAAACCAAAACCAAAAAAGCATGCAATATAAATGAATGTGACAACAGGTGACCATCCAGATGGACAAACATGAGTAGTGGACTGATGGGCTGAATCAATCAATCAATCAATCAATCAATCAATCAATCAATCAGTTTATTCGGTAATAAGGCCTCAGGCCCACGTACATATATATACAAATTAGTTTCACATCAAGTGCTGCATGAAATAATATTTACAGGTAAGAAGAACGAAGACAGATAGCATTTTTAACATAATTGGCTAAGTTCTCAAGGCGGTTTACATCAGAAGAGTTTAACATTCTAACCAGTGTGTCTTTACGATTATTACCAGTAATGAAGTCTAAATATGGGAAATATTTTGAGCGAATATCTTCATAAATTGGGCAAACAAGAATGAAATGAATTTCATTTTCAACTGCCCTTAACTTGCACAATGGACAAAACCGGAGTGTCTTATCGATGCCATCCCCTGGGCTGAATGTCAGTAACCGACCCAGTAACTCTCACTCCTTGTTTGCCCCCAGTCTTCCACCTCGCCCCACCCTCACAGGTGCCCTGACCCCCAACGACAGGCTGACCGAGGCGGAGCATCTGTTTGAGGACAACATTGAGGGACCCGAGTCACTGGTGTTTGATGGAGGTAATGGCCCAGCAAGGACAATTGTTGTCAAGATATATGATGTCAGGCCTCATAGGTGCGACTAAAATGGTTGCCAGTTCGACCTAAATTTCAATTTGTCTACTGTCTAAAATTCAGAGCTAGCCATATGACTACCTTGAAAAATATCTTGTGGCGACTAAATTCTATTGCTTCACACTTGAATACACAAAAATTAATAACAGCTGATTGTGGAAAACATGTCTGCTAATAATAGTACTTACGTATAATACCTCCTATAGTCGACAATGAACAGAAATACATAAATATTAATGTAAGTAGTATTTTATTTCAGTTGATAGTGCTTATTGAATAAGCAAAGTATACCTAAATAATCAAGTAACATAAATTGCATCATTGTTTGAGTCACAAATAACAAGAATCAAGTACAGTTTCCACTAATATACAATTCCAACACTAGTGCTATTATAATAGTTATTTGATAAAAGATAATTTCAAATGCTTTTGGCTATCTACAATAATTCTTCTTGATTTTACCACTGGCTACCTGGAAAAAAAATACTTGTAGCCATACAGCTACTTGGTGAAAATTTATACTTTGAGGCCTGGACACTTTATATTATTACTAACCAGAAGGGAGTTAATTCATACATGAAGTTTGGAAAGAGGTCAACTACAATTAGAAAACAATAACATAAGAATTTTGGGGCGGTCGGAGAGCCTAGTCGTTAAAGCATTCGCTCATAATGCCGAAGACCCGGGTTCGATTCCCGACATGGGTACAATATATGAAGCCCCTTTCTGGTGTCCCCAACCATGAAATTGCTCGAATATTGCTAAAAGTGGCGTAAAACCATACTCTAACATGAGAATCTAGAATATGAATATTGGACGAATTAGACACTTTTGTTGATACATATCTTCCCTAGGTAGCTAAAGATCTGGGTTCTACCATAGGTACATGTACACACCATGAGGACAGAGGAAGGATTGTGATATATGTATGTTATGTTCTACCCCGTAGATCACCTGTATACTGGGACCATGGATGGAACGATCCTTGACATATACAAAGGGCAAAAGAGGGTGCTGGCCAGACTGGGCAGGGAGCCCTGTGGTAAGTCTAGATGGACGTGTACAAAGGGCAAAAGAGGGTGCTTGCCAGACTGGGCAGGGAGCCCTGTGGTAAGTCTAGATGGACGTGTACAAGGGGCAGGAGAGGGTGCTTGCCAGACTGGGCAGGGAGCCCTGTTGTAAGTCTAGATGGAAGTGTACAAGGGGCAGGAGAGGGTGCAAGCCAGACTGGGCAGGGAGCCGTGTGGTAAGTCTAGATGGACGTGTACAAGGGGCAGGAGAGGGTGCTTACCAGACTGGGCAGGGAGCCCTGTGGTAAGTCTAGATGGATGTGTACAAGGGGCAGGAGAGGGTGCTTACCAGACTGGGCAGGGAGCCCTGTGGTAAGTCTAGATGGATGTGTACAAGGGGCAGGAGAAGGTGCTTGCCAGACTGGGCAGGGAGCCCTGTGGTAGGTCTAGATGGACGTGTACAAGGGGCAGGAGAGGGTGCTAGCCAGACTGGGCAGGGAGCCGTGTGGTAAGTCTAGATGGATGTGTACAAGGGGCAGGAGAAGGTGCTTGCCAGACTGGGCAGGGAGCCCTGTGGTAGGTCTAGATGGACGTGTACAAGGGGCAGGAGAGGGTGCTAGCCAGACTGGGCAGGGAGCCCTGTGGTAAGTCCAGATGGACGTGTACAAGGGTCAGGAGAGAGTGCTTGCCAGACAGGATTGTATTTTTTGCCAAACCTATAAAACAAAATACAAACTGTCTGATGGATGTGTGGATTTGATTGCAGGAGGTTATGTGAACGAGCCAACGTGTGGACGACCTCTTGGCATGAGATTGAACAAAGATGGCTACCTTATTGTAGCAGATGCCTACCTTGGCCTTTTCCAGGTCAATGTAGCAACAGGTGAGAGAGTCCGTTATCAAGAAGGAGACAATGCATTATAAGGGTAACGCTGTTTTTCAGGGCATTATCATTTGCAGAAGTCTGAGGTCTTCCACTGAAAAGACCGAGGGCTTCTGCAAATGATAATGCCCTGAAAAATAGCGATACCGTTATTGTAGCTAAAATGGATGGAATTTGTTATCAAATAAAAAGAAACAACAATATCGGATTTGAAACATTTACTGCAATCAACACGAATGTCACTGACCAACTTTTACAAACATGAAAAGGTCACAGAACAAACCAGATGACGTCACTATTGAACGTGAAGTCACCTATCCCTATCCTATGACGTCACCTAACAATGGGCTTGATAATGGCCCATCGTCAAGCAATGTGAGGGCATTATCAAGATACAGTGGCCCGCTCATTTTTGATAACATGCGGGCGGTTTGATGATAATTCTATCCATTTTAGCTATAATATAAGATAAACCTCAACAAGATTCCATGTTAGAGCAGGTCCCTGTCACCTACGCTGGTTGTAATAGCCGACTAAATGGATTGGTATTCTCCCATTAGTTACACGTCCAAATTTGTCACACACCTCAAAACAACAAGGGTCCTGGCTGAAGGCACTGGTCTCAGCTAATAGCACTGGTAGCAGCACTGATTAATTAATTGAATTGAATGTCTCTGAGGAGTCTTTGTTTACTCCAACCCTGCAGCATCCAGGAACTGGAGTGGAGGCTTGAGTTCCTGGCAAAGCTGATCTTTCAATCTCTCAAGACTTTTGATATTGATAATCACATATGTCTGTAAATATACACTTGACATGTTATGAGAATAAGTTTTGTGTATCATGGAAAGATAAAGATATCCTTATCAAAAGTGGAGTAATATACATATACACATCCATTAGTATGGATTTCTGGCATTTACGCAAGGAGCATGTGTGTCTGTTAGGTTTTAGACTCTCACGGGGCGGTCGGGTAGCCTAGTGGTTAAAGCGTTCGCTCGTTACGCCGAAGACCGGGGTTCGATTCCCGACATGGGTACAATGTGTGAAGCCCATTTCTGGTGTCCCCCGCCGTGATATTGCTGGAATATTGCTAAAAGCGGCGTAAAACCATACTCACTAGACTCTCACATCTGGTCCTCCCCTTCACTATCGGCCCTACTCTACTCTCTCTAGGTGAAATCATGCTACAATTAATAGCTTCTAATAGTTTATGTCTTTGTCACATTCTCAATCTGAACAACATATTTTTCCATGGTCAGATAGAAAAGACCAGAATTTAATGCCCCACCTATTTTATGACTCATGTCAACACAACAACAGTTTTGCCGTTGACCCCAACAGACAAATTTACCCCTGAAGTAAACATGGTGTATATATGGCAGTAAACACAGCTGCTGTATTTATTGCCCACAAGCTGGGGTATGGTGCTGACAGACCGAAAATCATTATCCAAATGAATCTTAGATTTGAACCAACGATCATAGGATTCTGGAATGCCTAAGGGAGGTAACACTACACAGTGAATTGTTGCCCCACCCATGCCCCCTTTGACACAAGGGACTAAATACCGTGCAGTGACCTTGTCTGGAGAAGGTAAACAATTAACGCACTTACCATACTTCAGGTGATGTTCATCAGATCTACTCTTCACAAGACCCTATCAATGGTCAGAAGCCGCAGTTTCTGAATGACCTTGACATTGCAAGTGATGGAACTATTTACTTCAGTGACTCCAGCACAAGGTGGGGGAGAAGAGAGAACAGATACTGTGTCATGGAGGCTGAGGAAACAGGAAGGTTGGTCCGAGTGGGATACGACCAGAGTTGTTGTTTGTTTGTTTGTTTGTTTGTTTGTTTGTTGTTAAACACCGCACTCAGCAATATTCCAGCTATATGACGGCGGTCTGTAAAAAATCGAGTCTGGAATAGACAATCCAGTGATTGATATCATGAGCATCGATCTACGTAATTGGGATATGATGACATGCATCAACCAAGTCAGCGAACCTGACCACCTGATCCCGTTAGTCTCCTCTTATGACAAGCATAGTCAGTCGACTGTTACGGCATTTATGGGTTTCTGAAGACCTATTCTAACCCGGATCATCACAGGTCCAGTGTTATTGTACAGGCCCCCATTCCACAAAGGCATCTTAGCGAAAAGATGTTTGTAACTCTATATACTACAACATAGACTTATGACAGTGTTATCGCTAAAATCACTTTGTGGAATGGGGCCCAGAAATATTAACTTTCCATTATTGTACAATTATCTGTGAAGGCACTTCGTAGAATATTCTAATGTGAGACTATTCTAATGTTGTAGTGGGCTGAAATTATGCCAATGCGACGCTAAATTTTAACTCACCTCACCTCTAATGTTGTATTTTTTGTCTTTAATACAGCTGAGTGAGTGAGTGATTTAACACTGCTATGAACTATTTCAGTTATATCATGGCACTTGATGTGGGAGGGAAATCATGCAGGCCTTATACATTTTCCATTTGTTGAAACTCATCAGCTTGAGTATGGTGCTGACAAACCAAGAAACACAAGGAGGGCAAACCTGGAGTCGAACACATCATCCATCATGGGTGTCTTGCATGACTAAGGGGTGGTCAGGTAGCCTAGTGGTTAAAGCGTTCGCTCATCACGCCGAAGACCTGGGTTCGATTCCCGACATGGGTACAATGTGTGAAGCCCATTTCTGGGTCCCCCGCCATGATATTGCTGGAATATTGCTAAAAGCGGCGTAAAACCATACTCACTTACTCACTCTTGCATGACTAAGGGACGAAACTCCACTCGAATTATGGTGCCTCAGAAGTTTTCTACTTGATGTGACATTTATATGTATGAGTGTTAGCCACTCACTCACTCACTCACTCACTCACTCACTCACTCACTCACTCACTCAACTGTTGTTTTGTTCAGAATTTGTACATAGCCCATGGCTTTACACAGAAATAAAATTGATTGATTGATCAAGTTGTATAGAAAACAAATTTTCATTGATAAGGATAGAAAGATACTCATTCTCATGTCTTTTGATAGCAAGTATTTCAACACAAGTCGATAAAAGTTAAAACCTCCATGGCTTGCAGATAATTGTTTAACATTTATCTCACAAGTGTTGATATGTTTCATACAAAAAGACATGAGGGCGGAAGTCTATATATCATCCAAAATCATTCTTCCCAATTTTTTCATTTGTAAAATGTAACAACCGGTGCCTTGAGTGTAAGAAGTAGACCTAACCAGCTTCAGTGGCAGAGAGATAAGTGATGTCATTTGGTTTAGACATCGAGGTAACCGATGACGTCTGCAGAACATTGTAATGCGATTTATTGTAGCAAAATATCTTCAAGGGATGAATACACAATGCCATTTAGAAAGTGGTCAAATGTAACAAATGTTAAATTTGGGATAACACTTTCTTAGTAAAGTACAGATTCTAGTACTCAAAGTACGTTATCTAGACTACCAGTTGTCGGACTTTCATTTTTGTGGAAGCCTCGGTGGCTGAGTGGGTTAGATCGCTGACTTTGTGTGCTGGCGATTAGGTGCCTCACTCTGGCAAGTGTGGGTTCGAATCCCGCACGGGACTCAACCCAAAAGAATTACTAGAATCTGTACTTTACTAAGAAAGTGTTATCCAAAATTTAACATTTGTTACATTTGACCACTTTCTAAATGGCATTGTGTATTCATAGCTTTCGGCCATGGGAGCCGTGCCAATTTACACTTGTCAGAGGGGTACTCAAAGTATGTTATCTAGACTACCAGTCGTCAGACTTTCATTTTTGTGGAAGCCTCGGTGGCTGAGTGGGTTAGATCGCTGACTTTGTGTGCTGGCGATTAGGTGCCTCACTCTGGCAAGTGTGGGTTCGAATCCCGCACGGGACTCAACCCAAAAGAATTACTAGAATCTGTACTTTACTAAGAAAGTGTTATCCAAAATTTAACATTTGTTACATTTGACCACTTTCTAAATGGCATTGTGTATTCATAGCTTTCGGCCATGGGAGCCGTGCCAATTTACACTTGTCAGAGGGGTACTCAAAGTATGTTATCTAGACTACCAGTCGTCAGACTTTCATTTTTGTGGAAGCCTCGGTGGGTGAGTGGGTTAGATCGCTGACTTTGTGTGCTGGCGATTAGGTGCCTCACTCTGGCAAGTGTGGGTTCGAATCCCGCACGGGACTCAACCCAAAAGAAGTACTAGAATCTGTACTTTACTAAGAAAGTGTTATCCCAAATTTAGCATATGTTACATCTTCAAGGGAGTATGAAACATTTTTATTACCGACCCATGTTATCAGACCTGTCAACCTTCCCGCATTTTGCGGGAGACTCCCGCAATTTGATGAAATCTCCCAGTCTCCCGCATTAGAGACGAGTTATGGCCATATTGCTTTTAATATTATTGACACAAGCATGTTTCTTTCAGAGTGATGTCGTTCGACCCAACAACCCATGCAATGTCACTTTTGATGGAAGGCCTTGCATTCGCTAATGGTGTCCAGCTTTCCTCAGACGAGGACTTCCTGCTGGTCTGCGAAACTACAAAGGCGAGGATTTGGAGGTACACTGTGAAACATCACATGACAGCAGGTTACATATGGATGATATTGTTAGAACTCTAGAGTTTCTCATGTTTTACAACCAGGGGTGTGGCCCAGTCGTCTAAGGCGCCGCAATTCGCTGTGCAGAGTTGCGTCCTTTGGGCACCCCAGAAACCTATGATTGTTGGTTCGAATCCCGGTTCCCCCCGATTATGTTTCTAGGTTTGTCAGCACCATACCCGTGCTCGTGGGTTTCACCGAAGGGGTAAACGTCTGAGACCTGCATCACTTTGGGCTTTCCTCCCACATTAAGCTGACACGCCGTGATAAAACTGGAATACTGTTAAAAGCGGCGTTAAACCCAACTCACTCACTCACTCACAACCAGGGGTATCTAACTGACCAATATATAGTGTTTAGAGTAATGAAAATTGTCCTGGTACACTGGTACTACCCATTTCTGTAAAACTCTCTTGCTAGTCCTAAATTTACTGCCAACTCAGGAAGTAAAAAGGTTTTATATCCACTGCTTTGAAAACAAAAGTAATGAATTTCCCGTTTCATAAAACAATCCTTGCTGTAAGGAATGATAAGGGAGTAACTCTGATTTTTACTTTTTTTCTTTTTTTTTCCCGTTATGCTCTCGATGCTGATACAGAAACTGTTGCATTGCGAAGTACACTAAGACGTTGTGTTTATGAGCACATACACATGTGGACAATATTAATTTGTTTTACCTGTTTTGACTCTTATAGCAGTGCATTGCCAGAGTTATGTCCGCCTTAGTTCAGAGCCCCACAGTCCATCTTCGTTTTCCTTCCACTCAGATACTGGTTGAAGGGATCCAAGGCAGGCCAAAAGGAAGTGTTCATGGAAAACCTGCCTGGACTGCCTGACAACATCCGGCGAAACCGCCGGGGAACATTCTGGGTGGGTTTTGCAACGGTGCGCAGGGCGGAAAAGTTCTCCATGCTGGACTTCACATCCGACAAACCCTGGCTGAGAAGCCTCATCACAAAGGTACAGTGACACAGTTATCTCCCCTTTGAGGTAGCAGACGGCATACAAATAGTCAAATGTAATCTTCTCCTGATTTGTTGAATTCTGAAATGCACATATACATGCATTCTGCAGATGGATGAGTAAGGGAATCATGTTCTGGTCATGCTCTCCCCACCCCAACCCACCCCAACCCACCCCACCCCCACCCCCACCCCCCACCTCTTGATTAATGACCAGTCCCTTTAAGGAGTTTGTGGCAGGTCTTGAAGAAAAGTAGACTGTATATAGTTATTGAAGCTTTTAAAGAAGCAGTGTTGCTCTTTATTCTGCATTACACACTAATATTAACCATCATTGTACAACTTTAGGCAAGTCACTGCAGCAATGGTATTACTGAGTTGAGCTTTATGTCAGATCCATTTAATCTTAAATATTTTGAGATTAGGATGTCTATCAGTCCATCTGTTATTGGATTTCCAGGGCATAACTCAAAATCTGTCTTATAGAAAGCACTATCTACAATTAAGGTAGTGGACAGCTGCGATGTTTTGATCGATTCAAAATATAACTTCCAGACATCACCTTGTATCAGAATAAGGCATACCTGTTTACATAGTTGTCATCTGAATTGTTTGGTTTTGTTATTAGATTGTTTCTCAAGAGACCATTGTCCGACTTGTCCCCAAGTACGGCCTGTTGTTGGAGGTGGACAAGGCAGGACAGATTGTACAAAGTCTACATGACCCGATGGGAACTGTTGTGCCCTCAGTCAGTGAAGTCGAGGAGAAGGATGGAGTTCTCTACCTTGGATCTTACAATCTTCCATTCCTGAGCAGACTGCGCTTGAAGAAAACTGGAAACTGATATAGTTTTCTGGAGTTGTTTGCTATAGGGTGTATCTTGTGCCAGTGATGCTGATATGCCCTCTGTAGACTTTAATGACCTTTTGGATTCCAATGAATCTTTTCAGCTTATATTTCTACCTTTATCATTGATTGAGTCAGTGAGTTGGGTTTAACGCTGTTTTGAACAGTTGTCCAGTATTCACCACTTTATTGAAATCCAAAGGAGCGAACCGGGATTCAAACCCACAATCATAGATCCCTGGCATGCCCAAGGGACACAACTTCCTTAGACGACTGGGCCACCCATGCCTGCTCAACCCCTAAGAAACACCTTGATATGTTTATGATGGTTTTGTGATGGTTTCATTTTGTGCCAGTTCATAGATCATAACAGCAAAAATTGTTTTAAACAAAGACCAACTGTACATATATATATCTATACCAGTATAGATACATGACAAGTATGGCCCTTACTAAGCCTAATTACAATAATGCAAAATATAATGAAATTTGGTACATGTGTAGTTACAAGTGGGACTCGCATACATGCTGCACTTTTTGTGACAGTTAAAGTTTTTACTTTGATTTGACCCTTGTACTTCAACCATGCTTTGTACTGATCACTCGTCTAAAGTTACAAGACTGAGGAAAACTGAACATTAGCATGTATATGTTTTCATTTCAGGCTATCATATTTATTCAAATCTGTAGAATTTACTGTTTAGTTGTTAATCCTCAATCTTTATGTGGAAAATGTTTGAATGTCTTTGTTTAGTGGTTGCCTTTACTTTTTAAAGTCAGTTTAGACTGATGACACATATACAGGTGAGCTACAGTGCCGTGGCACTATTTTTGTTATCAAACATTATGGATTTACCCCATCACCTCAACCACACATGTAATATTTCTGTTGAGATCGAACACAGACTTTCAATCAGACAAGAAATGTTCCCTCTGAGTATTTAATTACCTTAACATGCAATGTCTGTGACTAGTACATCCGGGTGTCTTGTTCTAGTATGAGGCACATGATACATATCATATGATTTAACAAAATGCCAAAATAATTCTATTTTCTTAATTGCCCACAAAGTAGTTCCACAGAGACCTCCTGTATGTAATGGAGTATTGCCACACATGTTGTGAGGTGATTCTCAGTGAGCAGACGTCATCATTAGATTGTATGAACATAAACTGTTCAATAGTTCCACAGAGACTTCCTGTATGAAATGGAGTATTGCCACACATGTTGTGAGGTGATTCTCAGTGAGCAGACTTAATCATTAGATTGTATGATCTTAGACCATTCAGTAGTTCCGCAGAGACTTCCTGTATGAAATGGAGTATTGCCACACATGTTGTAAGGTGATTCTCAGTGATTCTCAATCATTAGATTGTATGAACTTCCACTGTTTCCTTTTAGTCAGTACGAAATACCATCCTGGTATGTTTCCTGTTATATATTGACCATCTGCATGTTTCTTCATGTTCTGTTTGTTTGTCAGAAAATAGATCTAGAATAATAAGGTGCTTTTGAATTTTGTTGAGTGTAATAATGTTGGGCAATGCCATGTAATGATGTCAGATTTGTGAAGGAGCCCTGTTGAGTGAGTGAGTGAATAGTGTTCTATATCATGGCCTCAAGTACTACAGCAATGTCTAGTAACATGGCCCTAGATGTGAATTACAGTGCGCCAGACAATCCTAGTGGTCGACAATATGAAGTCATACTGGTAAGATTGTCAGGATTTATGTGACATTCCACAACTCTGGCACCCCAACCCTGTAATTCTGGTTCAATTGGCTTCTTGACACACCCTTATTTACAGGGGGACAGTGGGGTAGTCCGATGGTTAAATTGTTGGTTTGTCATGCCGAAGGTATGAGTTTCCATCCCCATGGGTGCTGTGTTTGATACTTTTTTCTGGTGTCTCCTGCCATGAAATTGCTCAAATAGTTCTAAATCCAGCATAAAACCCTACTCCCTCACTCATTGTACTTCGCGACTCAGCTGTTAGTATGTACAGGCTGCTGTGATGTACCATGGCATCTGTTTGCATTATCCAGGTACTTTTGTTATATCAGCATATCAGATAATTATTACAGGGCACATAAATGTGGTCATATTTGTTGATATGATTTCAATGTTGCAAGGAAGTCATTTTTGTTTCATATTCATTGTCTTGGTGCTAAGAAATTTAAAATAATTAAAATTATAACCATATCATTCCTGTACTAGTTAGATTCAGTGTTTTACAAGCTATAGTTTATGTAGGTTTTGAAACCAGTATTAACCTGAATGCTTCTTATAGCCCAGTAGATGCAGTGTAGTCGTATACATGGACCAGTTGAGAAAAAAAGATGTGTTATATCATGGTGTATGGAAACAAGCATGATGCATTCAGTTGATGCAGCTATTGTGATTTCAGTTAAGATCTATGGTAACTGTGAGTTTGATACTTCTGGTTACATTTGGAACAGTGGCTCCTCATGAGGTTTCAAATGTTGAAATAAGCGCTATTTATAGCTGTACCAGCTGTAGATTCCCTATACTTTTGTTTGACAGTAATATCTAATCAGCTTGTATGTTTTACATGGAGAATTTAGCACTCTGTAGAGCAAAGCAGACTGTAGACGTTATAGTGCTTAGTTATCATTAAAATAATGCATTAAAAGTTCCAAATCTTGGATTTATAAGTGTTTACAGCTATGCTAACTGTAGATTTGATAGTGCTACTCATCAGATATCACTTTTGTTTGTTTGTTTGTTTGTTGTTTAATGCCGCACTCAGCAATATTACAGCTATGTGACGGTGGTCTGAAAATAATCGAGTCTGGTCCAGACAATCCAGTGATTGACATCATGAGCATCGATCTACGCAATCGGGATACGGTGACATGCATCAACTGAGTCAGCGAGCCTGACCCCGTTAGTCACCTCTTATGACAAGCATAGTCGCCTATTACCGCAAGAATGGGTTGATGAAAGACCTATTCTACCCCGGATCTTCACAGATGTCAAAGTCATCCGAAGCACAGTTGAGGAATGACTGACTGGTGAATACTGTGTTTGTTGGACTGGACTAACAGGAAGAGTGTAGTTGGTACGTGTAGACTGTCGGTACATGTACATCATCTCCAGCTTACTTGTTGTATTGGCAGTATTCCAGCAATACAGTGACAGTCAACTCCAGAGAAGAGATGACTAAGCATATAGATATTACTATTTGAGTACATCATATCTTCTGATGAACAGTCATGGTAGAATAAAGTATTGTTTGTTATCAAATATTTATATAGTTGTGTCATACTAATGCCACTTGATTTCATTCCAGTGTTATAAAAGAGTCAGTATTTTTGTTGTTGTTTTTATGTACATGTATATGTTATTTTGAGATAATTTGCTTAAAAAGATTCGATATCAGAGTTGGTAGTTATCTAAAGGTTCCTGTAAAATTATTACATTGTAAGTGCTGTTGCGCATTGATATATTAGGGTGGTCCATTATATGAACCGTTCTCACATAAATACACTTTAAAAATATTTACTGTGTGAACATAATATTTATCAGAATGTGTAACAGGATAAAAAAAAACATAAAACAAAATTTTATTCATAGGCAAATCTAATCAGGCACCTTTTAATATTTGTATGGAACATAATTAATGTACATTTAAGCGAGTTTCAGTTATTAAAAATAATTTTTTTTAATGATGGTGTAGTTTTTTGTATGCAAATAACATTTGTTTAACATTGCATTCAGCAATATTCCAACTAGATTACAGCTGGACCAGGAAAACTAGGACTGTAAAACATGAGCACCATCAATGCCATGGGTGCACAAAGACACACAGTCAGCCTAGTCAGAGTCAGACCCTCTTATCTAGTGTATCCACCTATTGTGACAAGGAATAGCGCTGGGGACTATGGTTACTTGTGTCATTAGACCGCTTCCGTGGTCCAGTGGTAGAGCGGAAGGTCCGGGGTTCGATCCCCGGCCGCCTCATACCTAAAAACGTTAAAAGATGGTACTTGTTGTTACCCTGTCTGGCCCTTGGCAGTAAGGGGCTAAAATAAGGACTGGTTGGCTGGGAGTATACTGTGTCTAAGTGGGGTATTCATGTTAAACTGCGGCATGGTATCTCAGTAGGCTAGCACTATTAATTGGCATCAGTCGGGACTAGTACAAGCAGCCACACAGACACATGTGCATGCATGTCGCTATATAAGTGCAATAATCTTGAACTCGATGTTAAACCCCACCCCACCTCACCTCACCTCACCTCACCTCACTTCACCTCACCTCACCTCATGTGTCATAAGTGAGGTGTCCTGGATGTAACAAGCTGAAAGGGCTTGTAAACCAAGAGACCCAAGGTCAAGGGCTTGTACATGAACATTAAGCCAAAAATTTCTGTACACCCCCACGAGCCAGACATGTAAGGAATTTATCATAAAGTGTTCACAAGTATGGAGATCTATTTTCAGTGACAAATGTTATTGTGATTATATCGCATCTGACGATTGACCGCCAGTGGGAGCGGTATGATAACTGTGAACATTGTGACCTGACAGGCTGATGAGGTAATACAAAACGCCTTGACATGATTATTTGAAACTCAAAACGTGTTGGAAAGAAAATGCAGAAGCATGCAGCCCTTTCACTGACACTGCCATGAGTGAGTGAGTGAGTTGGGTTTAACGCCGCTTTTAACATTATTCCAGTTATATCACAGCGTGTCAGCTTAATGTGGGAGGAAAGCCCGAAGTGATGCAGGTCTCAGACGTTTACCACTTCGGTGAAACCCACGAGCACGGGTATGGTGCTGACAAACCTAGAAACATAATCGGGGTGAACCGGGATTCGAACCCACAATCATAGGTTTCTGGCGTGTCTAAGGGACGCAACTCAGCACAGCGAATCGCGGCGCCTTAGACGACAGGGCCACCCGTGCCCCCGACACTGTCATGAAAGGGGGCTAACGGGGTTCGGGTGGTCATGCTGGCTGACTTGGTTAATGCATGTCATCGTATTCCAATTGCGTGGATTTATGCTCATGATGCCAATGACTAGATTGTCTGGTAGTTATCGACCACGGTCATATGGCTGTAATATTGCTGAGCGAGGCATTAAACAACAAACAAACAAACATTCCTAGAATGCCCCAGAAATCAGTGCTTGCATTTCCTGTCTGATACCATCACCATTTGTTTGGTGGTAACAGGCGACAAACGGGATCGAGCGGTCAGCCTTGCCGACTTCGTTGATGCTTGTCATTATATCCCAATTGCGTAGATGGATGCTCATGATGTCATTCACTGGATTGTCTGGTCCGAGACTTGATAACTTACACATTTACGCCGTGATATAGCTGGAATATTGCTGAGTGCGGCCTTAAACAACAAACGAACAATCACCACAAACCAGATTTAAGTTCAATGCCTCTACCTTAATAAGAAAATTGTGTGCACTGCTGGATAAATGACCTTGACCCTCAATTCATCCAGTACATGCAGAAGCAGAATTACATTTACAAATGACCACACTAGTGACCTTGGCATTCAATGAAGAACACTCAGACCTTACCGCTTCAATGCCAACAATCACTACATTAAACACTTTTTGACATATATATTTTCTCTATAAAACCTTGAGAGTGAATTTGAAGTAGCTGTTACAAGTATTTCAAGAACATTCCCGAAGGTTAAACGCACATACGCCATGTCCCTTTGGGAAAATCCATGTATCGAGGAAAATATAGCAAATGAAAGTAGGTCACAGTGACCTACTACTGTTCTAAGATTGTCGTCACCAGTTGTCATATATACTCTTCAAAAAGGCAAGGGGCTACTCGAAAATAACTTAGAATTTCCAAAAATGTAAGAGGTATTAGTTTCTAGTAATAGTTGTGTGATAATGATGAACGAATTGGGAACATATTACACCCGGTTATGAAGCATGACAGAAGATGTTATGGTCGCTAGTGATCTTGAGTGAGTGAGTTGGGTTTAACGCCGCTTTTAACAGTATTCCAGTCATATCACGGCGTGTCAGCTTTAGGTGGAAGGAAAGCCCGAAGTGATGCAGGTCTCAGACGTTTATCACTTCGGTGAAACCCACGAGCACGGATATGGTGCTGACAAACCTAGAAACATAATCGGGGCGAACCGGAATTCGAACCCACAATCATAGGTTTCTGGCGTGCCTAAAGGACGCAACTCGCGGCGTCTTAGACGACTGGGCCACCCGTGCCCCCCTAGTGATCTTGAAGGACGGTAGGAGTAAGATGGGAAATTAAGCCTAATTCACTCCACAAGTCAAACTGCGTATGAGTCTCCCAATC